ATTTTGAATGTAAGACACTAAAACCTTGTGTCATGTGCAGTAAAGGATACCAGTGGCGATAGGGTTGATTTTATAAGGCAATATTAAAACAAATCCTGAATTTCCCCCAGTGTGAGAAATGTGACCATTTTTCTTTAGGCATCACATCTTATATAATTTATTCACCACCTCTCCAATAAGTACGAAATTTATTGTAAATTACTCACTGTAATATTGTCATCGCTCAGACAAAGCCTAATTTTTATAGCCTTCAATCTTGTTTAGTTGCAGATCCATCATATAGAAAATAAGACCCATCTTGCCACACCTATCTGTCACATCCCCCTTTTCAGAATTTGTTAATAGTTCTCTCTTATGTTCAGTACTATATTATTTATAACCAATAGAAAGCTTAGGTTTTAATCTATTAAGTTACATATTATATTACGTTGTTTTCTGTACAGAGAATTGTCAATTTTTCTTTCAATACAAGCTTGGTTCCCACGAGAAACATATTGACTAGGTTGAATGAATTTTTAACAGCTCTTGTCACATAGTTAGAAAGCTAGAAAAATTATCTGCTTTTTGCATGTTATTATTCTATGTTCTTTGGTACATTATTTAATTAAATAAAAATTACTTAGTGCACTACTACCATTAGTATAAAAAGTAAGGTTAAGTGTCCTTGATAGTCGATAGGAAAAAAAGAAGACCCAGATAAGTACCTTATTTCTTGTTTTTCATGTTTATTCTTTATTTATTTATTATTATTATCAAAATAACTAAGATATAAAAATAGGAATCCCTTTAGGTTAGTTAAACTTTGATTAGGTAAAATAAATAATAATATAATAAAAGTGTTTCATGAGGCACAACTACAAGCAGCTCTTGAGTAATGTAATTCAATAGTGTAACGTGATGTCCATATTCCCCAAGTGACTTTTTTCATTTTTCCATTGATACTGTACAAGTCACTAACTGGATTTGCTACAAAGCACTCCCAAATATTATCTAACCTCTCATTATTCACTGTAGAAAGAACTCATTGATCTATCAAGCACTGTCCAACTTGTAAATGTTATGTCTCAAACTAAACTTTCATTCATTAGCCTATAATACCTTCTTCCAGGCATCAATAGTGGAGTATTCATGCAGATCTAAGTAATTTTTTTTATCTCAGTCACACAACCATTCACATCAGCTGGTATAAAGCATATTTTTCTTGTTTTAGGAGGAACTGACTTTCTTCTGGTAACATTTATTTGTTCTGTAATTTCAAGGGTTTAAGTTGTCTCCCCTTACTAAGTAACTTTATAAACTGATACTCTGTCTTAGATATTACTCTTTCTTCATGTTCATTTTCTATCCATGTTTGCCCCAGCTTATTGTTTTCTTTGCAATACATAACAAACACACACCTATGTGTGAATGTGTGTAAACTTTTTCTCATGTGAAGGTGCTTAACTCTTACTTCTGTAAACAACTCTCATGCCAGAAATTAATTTTACCTTCTCACACTATTGTTTATACTTTTAGTTTGTCTATCCTTTATGCTATGCCTTTTGTTTTTGGCCTATCTGACAGTGTTTTCTACATCAATACAAACTGTATCTTTAGATGATACAGATTTTACAAACATGAGCCAAACCCTTAAAAAAGAGATAGTTAAATGTTTAAGTTCACAATGTAAAAACATTTTTGGTCACATCTCTTATTTTTAATCAAATATAAACATACAGCACTTTACTTTTCAAAAATAATTTATATATATATATATAAATTAATAAACTACCAATCTTGTGGATATTAATTAAGGGTTGTTTAATCCACTGTCCTAAAAGCCTTTGTCCTGGTGAAGTACGACATTTGTTAAGTAGACCCAGTAAACTATGAGACTTGCTGCCTGGAAACACAAATAAATCACTCTTTAAAGGAACAGTAAGCTCTATCTATTTTGAATGAAAATAATAAAAAATAATTAAAACAAAATTATTTCTCAAAAGTAGTTATAAGAGTCTGAGGAACACACACACATGTATCAAATCACACAAAAACTGGGTAAAACAAATTAACAAGCTTAACTACAAGAATTAATACATTAAGTACTCTTAAAATTTCATCATATTGCTTGAATTGATCAATAAACAAGAGGGAATCCTCAATAGCCACAGCACTTGAAATTCTTTTAAGCAGGATTATTAA